TCGGTATTACTTCGTTCAGTTGCATGCTATTGTATGTTACAGGCTTCTATGCACAAATGTAACATCTGTAGCGTTGTGTCACGTCAGCCTTACAAGATACCCAATAGGAAAAAGATACGCACAACGGTAAATGAAAAACACAATCACTACTGTACAGAGCTACAACACCCACAATACGTTCCCGGTGATCTATCTGCTTTGTGCTTTCATTTCAAGGTGATACACTTTTGCCAACTGAACACTAACTCATTTCACTACCAACAAAGTTTCCACCAATACTAATATAAATTTAAACTTAACAAGACTTAGAAAATTATGTTGTGTGATAATTTTATAGTTTTGTTACATATAGGATCACTTTAGGAATAAACATCATTCACTGAAAAGACTGTAAGAGGCTCTGCATAAGGAGCTCCAACATATAGAGGTCAATATTTCCCTCCCGCTCATACACCGACCAAGGAGAGACCAGACCTTACCTAAAAGTATACAACAGAAGGTAACAATAATAACATTAGAGTATCAACAAACTCAACACAAGGACACTAAATACTGCATCTAAACCAAGTCAATGCCATAACCATAGCTTTTATACAACAATACTGTAATTACCTGTTAAAGAGTATTATGTTGTTAATAAAATCACAGCCAAAAGATGTCCAGTATTTCAACATATATCGTACAAAAACTACCCAGGGAAAGTTATGTTTGAAGATCGTACTGCAGATTTACTAAGCGCATTATTTTCTATTAAAGACTATAACTCACGTTTATCTTTTATTTATAACTACCTCTCTTGAGCATGTGCACGAGTCGAGTCTGCCATGATTCCTTTCTATTTGTTTCTTGTTTTAGCGATAATTGTCTTCTTTGTGTGTTCTTCTGCCCTCAACCACCCTTCCTTCCTCCTAATGTTCACACGTAGTAACTTGGTCTTATCCACGTGTGTTCACCTGTTACCTGTACACACCTGTCTTAACCTCTTGTTTACCCTCGTAAGTTCCTCTGATCTTTTATAAGTAACCACAATACTGTACATTATTAAAAATTGTTAACATTGTTATATCGTATATTTCTACATGTTGTTACATTTCAACCACCTTATCTTCATTCACACTTATTCAGTTAATCCTTCGAATATTCGTCTTTGTCTTCTCCTTTAACAATTCGTCGTTTAAATCTGTCCAGAAGTTGTTATATTTTGAAAGTGTGTCAGATTAATGTAGCTTTATTATCAGTCAACGTCCATTCCCTTTCACCTAGTTTGTATCTACACACATAGCCTATTTATACCTGTCATTTATACCTGCCATTTATACCTGTCCTGTTGCCTTCTCTTAATACCTAAATTTCACCCAAACTTGTCCCTAAAATAATTGTACTCAACCTACTCATCACTATGTCCTGTGTTATATTCTCATAAGTCAACAAATAACTCTAAGTGCCTAAATTATTTCTTCACGGAGTCGTTCAATAAAGTCTATCATGGACATCAGTTTTGTTTAATATGTCAATTACACCTGTGGATCACGTGAAAATTAGACACCCCAGTTTATTTTGCCTATTGATTTAAACACACTAACAGTTCCTGGGGGAGGGGGTGGTTAGTTTAGGATTGGGTTAGACGGTAGGTGGTTAATTCTAATTGAAATAAGCTAAAGGAAAGGCGGCTCATTTTCTCTCATATATTCCTACGTCTTATTTCTGACTATTCTCTTATGACCGATATTTAGGAACACCCGAATCCCATACCTGATCTGGAAATACCGAGACCTGAGGAAATGAGTCAAACAACGAAGCCTTGGAAATACCCGACTGAGTGAGTTATGAAAACCTGAATAGCTTGTATGTAGATGTTGTGTAGGAGTCATGAGAGGCGTTGAGTGGGAGGCATGGAAGACGTTGAGTGGGAGGCATGGAAGGCGTTAGTGGGATGCATGGAAGGCGTTGAGTGGGAGGCATGGAAGGCGTTGAGTGGGAGGCAAGGAAGACGTTGAGTGGGAGGCACGGAAGATTTGAGTGGGAGGCATGGAAGGCGATGAGGAGGAGCCATAGAAAGTGTTGGTGTGTGTGTGTGTGTGTAAGCAATACCAAGAGCAGACACACTGCTTCACCTCCCACACCCGCCTCGTAAAGGGATGCTGCTAGAATTACCAAATAGGATTAGCATGGGGCTACGGTTGGTCTGCCTTCAGGAAATCAAGTTGTTGGGATTTCCAGAAATTACTTGTCAGGAACTCCAAACCTCACCTGACAGGACTTCCCAGGACTCCACAGAACCTCTAGAAATAATTTTTAGGATTTCAGGACTCTGGTATTCAGGACTCTCCTCGTAAGACCCAAAAATTCACATTTCAGAGTTTCCGGGTTTATGCGTTTTCTTCTTCCTTGTTTTGTGGTTTCAGAATTTGTCTCAATATTCTCTCTCAAAACACCTTCCCATGATCGTGTGTGTGTGTGTTTATTGTCTTGCCCTTACCTCACATGACGCCCTCATCATCTACTTGCCCACATGACGCCCTCAACATCTGTCCACACATGACGCCCTCATCATCTACTTGTCCACACATGACGCCCTCATCATCTACTTGTCCTCGCATGACGCCCACAACATTTACTTGCCCCCACAGCGCCACAACATCTAATTGCCCACATGACGCCCTCAACATCTACTTGCCTCACCAGTGCCCTCAACACCTACTTGTCCACACGCGACCCTCAACATCCTTGTCACACACGACGCCCTCAACATCTACTTTTCCCTCACAGCGCCCTCAACATCTACTTGCCCCACACATGACGCCCTCAACATCTACTTGTCCACGCCCTCAACATCTACTTGTCCCACACATGACGCCCTCAACATCTACTTGTCCACACATGGCCCTCAACATCTACTTGCCCACACATGACGCCTCAACATCTACTTGTCCACATGACGCCCTCAACATCTACTTGTCCACACATGACGCCCACAACATTACTTGTCCACATGACGCCCTCAACATCTACTTGTCCACACATGACGCCTCATCATCTACTTGTCCACACATGACGCCCTATCATCTACTTGTCCACACATGACGCCCTCATCATCTACTTGTCCACACATGACGCCCCTCAACATCTACTTTGTCCCACATGACGCCCTCAACATCTACTTGTCCACACATGACGCCCTCAACATCTACTGTCCACACATGACGCCCTCAACATCTACTTGTCCACACATGACGCCCCTCATCTACTTGTCCACAACATGACGCCCTCATCATCTACTTGTCCACACATGACGCCCTCAAATATATCACTTGTCCACACATGACGCCCTCAACATCTACTTGTCCACACATGACGCCCCCAACATCTACTTGCCCACACATGACGCCCACAACATCTACTTGCCCACACATGACGCCCTCAACATCTACTTGTCCACATGACGCCCTCAACATCTACTTGTCCACACATGACGCCCTAACATCTACTTGTCCACACATGACGCCCTCAACATCTACTTGTCCACACATGACGCCTCAACATCTACTTGTCCACACATGACGCCCTCAACATCTACTTGTCCACACATGACGCCCTCAACATCTACTTGTCCACACATGACGCCCTCAACATCTACTTGTCCAGTCACGACGCCCACAACATTTACTTGCCCCTCACATGACGCCCACAACATCTACTTGCCCACACATGACGCCCACAACATCTACTTGCCCACACATGACGCCCACAGCATCTACTTCCCCCACACATCTACTTACAACCTTGCCCTATATACAGGAAAGTCATCACGATAATATTCCCACGTGAAGAAAGATGAACTGACAAGAGCCCACCGCTATGTCTTGAGAGCGACGAGGTCCATCCAGTTAACGAAGTACAGGGAGGGACAGACGACCCAGGGAACATCTTCAGATAGGTTCTAAGAAGCGAGAGAAATTCACTTTACCAGTTCGGTGCCTCGGGTTCCTTAAAAAATCGAAATCAAGATGGCGGGTGTTTGTTTTATCATCAATATGGCGGTTGTTTACGTTTTATCATCAATATGGCGGTTGTTTACGTTTTATCATCAATATGGCGGTTAAGTTTTATCATCAATATGGCGGTTGTTTACGTTTTATCATCAATATGGCGGTTGTTTACGTTTTATCATCAATATGGCGATTGTTTACGTTTTATCATCAATATGGCGGTTAAGTTTTATCATCAATATGGCGGTTAAGTTTCTGTTTTATCATCAATATGGCGGTTAAGTTTTATCATCAATATGGCGGTTGTTTACGTTTTATCATCAATATGGCGGTTAAGATTTATCATCAATGTGTTGTTTACGTTTCATCTCATTCCCAAGAGGAAGTGAACGGCAAACACATTATTTTTGTTTTATTCTTTACTCTTAGAACAATAATGTGTTTGTATAGTGTTTGATGCATTTACGAAGGTTGTGTGAAGCAAGACTCACCACCTTTAAAAGCTCTCATGATTTGTGGTAAATTTATGAAGAATTTTTGAGATTGATTTAGTTAAGAGGGTGGTGGGATGAGTGAGGATGTTGGTGGGTGAATGAGGGATTAGGGGTGAGTGAGGATGTTGTGGGGTGAGTGAGGATGTTGGTGGGTGAGTGGAGGATGTTGGTGGGTGAGTGAGGATGTTAGTGGGTGAGTGAGGATGTTGGTGGGTGAGTGAGGATGTTGTGGGTGAGTGAGGATGTTGGTGGGAGTGAGGATGTTGGTGGGTGAGTGAGGATGTTGGTGGGTGAGTGAGGATGTTGGTAGAGTGAGGATGCTGGTGGGTGAGTGAGGATGTTAGTGGAGGAGGATGTTGGTGAGGGTGATGTTGTGGTGGATGAGGATGCTGGTGGGTGAGTGAGGATGTTGGTGGGTGAGTGAGGATGTTGTGGGTGAATGAGGATGTTGGTGGGTGAGTGAGATGATGGTGGGTGAGTGAGGATGTTTGGGTGAGTGAGGATGTTGGTGGGTGAATGAGATGCTGTGGGTGAGGAGATGGGTGCGTGAGGATGTTGTAGAGTGAGGATGTTGGTGGGTGAGCGAGGATGTTGGTGGTGAATGAGGATGATAATATGTCTGGAGCAGCAACAGGTTAAGTCAGGTGAAGCCGTATCCACTTTAAAAGGAGTTTTACAATGAAAAATATAATGTAACGTAAAATATACACAAAATACAGTAAAAGTATAACTAGAAGTAAATTGTATAAACTAACTGGTGTATTACAGAGGACGCCAGGGGGGGAGGGAGGAGGGAGGGTAGGCAAGGGAGGAGGGAAGGATGAGGGGAGGGTAGGTAAGGGAGGGAGGGAGGGAGGGAGGGAGGGAGGGAGGGAGGGAGGGAGGTGGTAGCATAACAGAGCACATTAAATTTACCTCCTGTAAAACGTGTTGGACAGGGCAGTTTTATGCCCTCGTTGTGGAAGGAATACCATAATAAACTCTCCAGTACCATAATAAACTCACACAGTACCATAATAAACTCTCACAGTACCATAATAAACTCTCTCAGCACCATAATAAACTCTCTCAGTACCATAATAAACTCTCACAGTACCATAATAAACTCTCACAGTACCATTATAAACTCTCACAGTACCATAATAAACTCTCACAGTACCATAATAAACTCTCACAGTACCATTATAAACTCTCACAGTACCATAATAAACTCTCACAGTACCATAATAAACTCTCACAGTACCATAATAAACTCTCACAGTACCATAATAAACTCTCACAGTACCATAATAAACTCTCACAGTACCATAATAAACTCTCACAGTACCATAATAAACTCTCTCTCAGCACCATAATAAACTCTCACAGCACCATAATAAACTCTCGTACCATAATAAACTCTCACAGTACCATTATAAACTCTCCAGTACCATAATAAACTCTCACAGTACCATAATAAACTCACACAGTACCATAATAAACTCTCACGTACCATAATAAACTCTCACAGTACCATAATAAACTCTCTCAGTACCATAATAAACTCTCACAGTACCATAATAACTCTCACAGTACCATAATAAACTCTCACAGTACCATAATAAACTCTCACAGTACCATAATAAACTCTCACAGCACCATAATAAACTCTCACAGTACCATAATAAACTCTCACAGTACCATAATAAACTCTCACAGTACCATAATAAACTCTCACAGTACCATAATAAATTCTCACAGTACCATAATAAACTCTACATACCATAATAAACTCTCACAGTACCATAATAAACTCTCACAGTACCATAATAAACTCTCTCAGTACCATAATAAACTCACATAATACCATAATAAATTCTCACAGTACCATAATAAACTCTCACAGTACCATAATAAACTCACACAGTACCATAATAAACTCTCACAGTACCATAATAAACTCTCACAGTACCATAAACTCTCACAGTACCATAATAAACTCACACAGTACCATAATAAACTCTCACAGTACCATAATAAACTCTCACAGTGCCATAATAAACTCACATAATACCATAATAAATTCTCACAGTACCATAATAAACTCTCACAGTACCATAATAAACTCACAGTACCATAATAAATCTCACAGTACCATAATAAACTCTCACAGTACCATAATAAACTCTCACAGTACCATAATAAACTCACACAGTACCATAATAAACTCACAGTACCATAATAAACTACTCACAGTACCATAATAAACTCTCACAGTACCATAATAAACTCTCACAGTACCATAATAAACTCACACAGTACCATAATAAACTCACACAGTACCATAATAAACTCTCACAGTACCATAATAAACTCTCACAGTACCATAATAAACTCTCACAGCACCATAATAAACTCTCACAACACCATAATAAACTCTCACAGTACCATAATAAACTCTCACAGTACCATAATAAACTCACACAGTACCATAATAAACTCACACAGTACCATAATAAACTCACACAGTACCATAATAAACTCACACAGTACCATAATAAACTCACACAGCACCATAATAAACTCTCACAGCACCATAATAAACTCTCACAACACCATAATAAACTCTCACAGTACCATAATAAACTCTCACAGCACCATAATAAACTCTCACAGTACCATAATAAACTCTCACAGTACCATAATAAACTCTCACAGTACCATAATAAACCACAGTACCATATTAATAAACTCTCACAGTACCATAATAAACTCTCACAGTACCATAATAAACTCTCACAGCACCATAATAAACTCTCACAACACCATAATAAACTCTCACAGTACCATAATAAACTCTCACAGTACCATAATAAACTCTCACAGTACCATAATAAACTCACACAGTACCATAATAAACTCACACAGTACCATAATAAACTCTCACAGTACCATAATAAACTCTCACAGTACCATAATAAACTCTCACAGTACCATAATAAACTCTCACAGCACCATAATAAACTCTCACAACACCATAATAAACTCTCACAGTACCATAATAAACTCTCACAGTACCATAATAAACTCTCACAGTACCATAATAAACTCACACAGTACCATAATAAACTCACACAGTACCATAATAAACTCTCACAGTACCATAATAAACTCTCACAGTACCATAATAAACTCTCACAGCACCATAATAAACTCTCACAACACCATAATAAACTCTCACAGTACCATAATAAACTCTCACAGTACCATAATAAACTCTCACAGTACCATAATAAACTCACACAGTACCATAATAAACTCACACAGTACCATAATAAACTCTCACAGTACCATAATAAACTCTCACAGTACCATAATAAACTCTCACAGCACCATAATAAACTCTCACAACACCATAATAAACTCTCACAGTACCATAATAAACTCTCACAGTACCATAATAAACTCACACAGTACCATAATAAACTCACACAGTACCATAATAAACTCACACAGTACCATAATAAACTCACACAGTACCATAATAAACTCACACAGCACCATAATAAACTCTCACAGCACCATAATAAACTCACACAGTACCATAATAAACTCTCACAGT